CGGAATAAATCAAAGTTAAATCCAATAAGACCAGATCAAATCTTCAAAAATATCGAATCAAATCAAATTCAAATCTAGTAAGATCATATCAAATAATAAAAAACCAATTTAATAGTATAGGTCGTGTCATATTTGCTTGATCTAATCCTTAAATGCATCATATCGGATCTAATTAGATTGAATCAGACCAAAATAGATCTAATCAAATCAAATCAAATTCAAATATATTAAGATCAGATCAAATCCTCAAAAAAAACAACTTAATTATATTGGTCGTGTCCTTTTTGCCTTATCTAATATATAAATACATCAGATCCGATCAAATTAGATTAAACTAGACCAAAATAGATCAAATTAAATCAAATTCAAATCTAGTAAGATCAGATCAAATAATAAAAAACAGTTTAATTGTATAGGTCGTGTCATATTTGCCTGATCTAATCCTTAAATGCATCATATCGGATCTAATTAGATTGAATCAGACCAGAATAGATCTGATCAAATAAAATCAAATTCAAATATATTAAGATGAGATCAAATCTTCAAAAAAATAATTTAATTATATAGGTCGTGTCTTGTGTGCCTAATCTAATCTATAAATGCATCAAATCAAATCAAATTCAAATCTAATAAGATCGGATCTAATCTTTAAAAAAACATTTTACTTGTGTTAATTGTATCTTATTTTTATGATGTAAACTATAAATGCATCAAATCGGATCAAATTAGATCAAATCAGACCAAAATATATCTAATCGGATCAAATTAAATTCAAATCCAATAATATCAGATTTAGTCTTCAAAAAAATCAATTTACTTGTCAAGGTTGTGTCTTATTTGCCAGATATAATCTTTAAATGCATGATATCAGAATTTAGTTAATATTCTTAAAGTTTGCCTCCAAATCTCTACAATTTTAATTTCCCTTCTAAATTCATTTTCCCGCCTCTAAATTTCATTCTCCCTCTTCTTAATTTCTCTTTTCACTTTTTTGAAAATTTTAATTCCATTTAATAAGTGTTGGTGTGATATTTGATATCCCCACATATCCAATTACAACCATCCATCCAACCCCTCCTTTCACTACTCTTTATTCAATACGCCGTATACACATACGAGAGACGATGCCATCAGATTTGAAAATCAGAAATTGAATTTTCATCTCGATTCATCAAACGCCTTAACAGAGAGGGAAATGAAGGGAATGAGATGATGTCGAGGATATGGTTTGAAACCCTAGCTCCTGATCATAGATCTCTGGAGCGCAAGGCAACAAGCAGATGCAACGATCGATGGAGGAGGAATGAAAATGGTGATGGTCGGAAGAAGCTACCATCGATAAGAAACTAGCAACGAGAAGGTATAATCTTTAAATCTGTATTCTTCAATATCCTCTTCGTTTATGTATTGATTTCAAATTTATTCTCAACTTCTGGAAATATTGAGTATGTTTTAATGCTTGAACAAATCTGAAAGTAGATATAACTTTGTTAAAAAAATTGTTTGTGTTGGATCCACTATAATACACTTTATGATGTGTCTTGTATGTTATGTCCTCAATGTTTCTCGAATCTGGGAAAAAATAACTGAATGTGATTTTCAATTGAAAGAATTTTTTACTCTTAACGATGATAGTAACTGAATCTGGATCCAAACTCCAGAAGGCAACTTCACCATCTCCAGTGCTTATGAAAAGGTCAGTGAGCATGGATAAGAACTAGGTTTACTGCCTACAAGTACATATATTTATATGGACGAAGTCTCAAAATTATACTATTACCATCTTCCTATGGAACATTTTCCACAAAATATATGCTAGCTTACACATTCACTATTAAAAAAAGGTTATCATTCAACGGAATACTTTAGCTAATAGAGTTACCACTTTCATATTATGGTATGTTATTTATTTTAAAATACTTTAGTGATACTAGTCCTGAATGATGTTTTGATTTTCGTAGATTGCTCCTCTCTCAAAAGCTACTAATAGAAAGATCTCTTTTTTTAGGTTTGAATTGATTGAATTGCATCATTGTATATGCAATTAAAAACATGCCTTGATTTTCACATGTTGTACATGTCTTAGAGAATTTTAGTACATTTTTCTTTCTTTTTGGATAGTCTCACTTTGAAGAAGGATATTGTGAAAAGTATGTTTGAACAAATTATGCATGAAGTGATCACTTGGGTAGTTCAATCAACTGAAAAGTTTTATCATTTGCTTCATCTTTAGAACTTCTGTTGACTTTATGATTGTGTCCCTTCGATTGTTGTTAATCTAAATTACTTGATGTTAGTTTTAGGGTTTTTTCTGCTCTTAATTGATGGCTGATAGTATGATTTTTATTTAATTTATGGAGTTATCTAAGTATAACAAATCCAAGTATCTAAAGCCTACGAGTTGTCGAGGTTATCTAAGTATAACAAACCCAAGCATTCTAAAAGTTACTTATGGGGAATGTGATATTTCCTAGAGAACAACTAAAATATGAAAAAAAAGCATGCCATGTTGAGTACTTTATTCATTTTCTTGTTGATGAGTTATTACATATTGAGCTTTTCTATGCTTTCTGGGGTTCTATTAGGGTTGAATTTGATGACAGGGCTATTCAATTCTCCATTTAGTTGACTACTTATGGATTGTAGATAACAACATTGCAGCTTAGTCTGGTTTAAAATCTGTTTTTTGTTCGATTTGATATCTTTCAATTTGATTACCTATGATACTTTGGATAGATGTGCTTGGCTTCGTGTTAGGGATACTTTGTGTACTCATCATAAATTGGAAATCCAAATTCGGCTATTGAAGGGCAGCCCCTCATTTGAAATTTTGGCTCTTCAAATTTGGCTCTTCAAAATTTGAATCCTTATATGAAATTTCCATATATAAACACCAATTTATAGCCCCTCATTCATTAGCATTAACATTTTAAGATTTCTACATATAGAAAATTTACATTTAGTGTTTCATTTACTTTATTACCTTGGTTGTTTTCAATGGCAGATCAAGGATCCATGTATGAAGAGTGATGAATCTGCTGTGGATGGTAATGGTGATCGATGCTGCCATGCCAAAGCTAGGAGGCCAAGCAACCAGTAGTGCGAAAGACTAAGAGGGGTGATGATGTTATTCCCTCTTCCGGAGAGATTGAAGTTTGGATTTCAATTGATGAACTAGTGGACCGTTTGTAACGCCCCAAAATATACCCTAGAATTATTAATGAATAAGTATTCAATTAATCAAATTGTTTTGATTAAAATAAATTGTTTTTGGGCTTTGGGCCGATACGAAATTTGTTTTGACATCTAATATCAAAATCTAGATAAGTCTCATAGAGATAAATCCAAAATGTTGACTAATTGTGTAATCTTGATTGGGAACCTGTGTCCAGTCCCAAATTAAGAATAAATGAAGAAATTGTTTATGATGTAAAACATTGAAATGATTTATCATGAAAATAAATAATATGAATGAAATGTAAGAACCTTTTTGAGTAAAGGTCAATTAAATCAATTTTGACTTTTTTAAAGTCAAACACCCAAAAATATGATGTCAGAAAAAGTATTACAAATAAATATAAAAATTATATCATTGGATAGAGTTTAAAAATATAAAAATTACGATCACAACGGTGCAAACGGATTTCAATTCGGAGAAAGTTGGACCAAAAAGTGTTCCCCCACTGGGACCAAATTAGTCCCAATCAGGGACTTACGTTTGCAGCCCGAAGAAATCGCCGCTCCCTCCACTGAGACGCCACAACAATAGCAGAGGGAGTCATCAACCATGTCTTCATTCCATTACTCCCTCCTATTTAAACCCCTCCAAACTTCACCATTTCTTCACCATTTTCCTTCAAATAAACTCTGTGAGAAAGCTGTGAGTGTGGAGAACGAAGTTGTGCAGTCAATTTGTTGTGAAGTCGCTGGAGCAAGCTACAATCCTCGCTGGAAGTTTCGCCGGAAAATTCTCAACACCTTCGATTACCTTCGAGGTAAGCCCGTAGATATATCTAGTGACTAGAATGTTCGTATAGATCGTTTCTATGTTCATAAACGGTCGTTTGGTTGAGTTTTGTGTTTGACATGCTTGAAGAAGCAAAAATCATAAACCATGAAATTGATGTTAAAGCTATGAACTAATGATGCCAAAATGATCTATGAACCTTGGAGAACATCTCTATATAGTTTCGTTGAAGTTCGATAACTAAAAACGGTATTTCCGAAATTGGACCCGAACGAAGAAGATGATGAACAGTGGCAGAAACACCACTGTCTGGATCGATCCAGGGGCTTGGATCGATCCCCTGGGAGTGATTTTTCATGGTATGGATCGATCTAGAGGGCTGGATCGATCCCCCGAATTTCTGATCCGAAAATTTGTTTGAAAATGTTATTTTTGAGCTCTAAAATCCTATTTTTGATACCAATTGATTATGATCATTATAAAAATGATTTTTCACATTAAAAGAAATATTTTTAACAAATAAAATATTATGTGATGCATGACGGTAAGTTAGGGTGTTAACACCCGAAGCTAGGCCGCTAATTGTTATTGATTATTATGTTGATTGATGATTATGGTAATGATTATTGATTGATAATTATGATGATTAAATCTTAATAAATATTCTGATTAAAAATGATAATTGTGAATGATTAAATCATAATGAATATATTGATGATT